GAGTGAAGTTCTTTTGTCTGTATTGCAATGAATTAGCTATTTATAATAATTGAAATTATTAGCAAGACTACCAATTAGACCAAATCTGCTAAATTACTTCAAATGGCTCAGAGTCTACTACTTTAATCTATTAATAAGGCTCTCCTCTATGGAAACCATCATTAGCACTGGCAAAAAAAAGACAAGCATCTAATCTCTGCTCTTGCAGGACCAAATTTTTTTAAGAGATGAATGGGAAGAAGCACAATTTGCTCATTCTAATCAGAAGTATTTATCCATATCAAGTTACCCTATCAAATCTTAAACATCCCAGCCCAGATCTGACTCACCCAAATACACTAAATCTTCTGCAAACAGAGACAAGAGGCAACCACGTTCAAATTAAATCAGTTGAAATTTCTGGAAGAATACCAGTGTTGGTGAAACTACAGAAGAGAGCTCCCCTGGATAAACAAACCAAAATTCCAAGTAGCTTCTCCATCATGATGAAAGATAAGTTGCTCATTTTCCTACACTAATCTATACCACAATTCTTAAAAATCAAGGAATTATTAACTAGTTAGGACTCCAGGAAAGCAGAGAATTGATCCCGTCTTTCAAACCTAGCATTTCAGATCAGTGCCAATTAAACTGCAGTAGTGACACTACTATTCCAACTTGCTATTACTCCTGCTTGTATGACAGCTCATTTGTCTCAATGAGTCTGGTCTTGCCTTGAGACTGCCTATGGGAAGACAAGACCTACACCACATGGCCAACTCACTGCCATTCTCTCACCTCCGCCTACCCTCTGCCAATTCTTGCCCTCATCTTTAAAAGCAGCCTTCTTCAATCTTCCTTCTGGTTTAATGAGGCAAGACTTAGCATAGTTACCCTCAAGCCTTGCTCTGCTCTAATAAACACTAGCATGTAGGCTATTAATGTCTGCCAGTTTGGATCTGTAGGAACATCACTGTTGCTTGAAGCTAAAAGACTAAAACTTCAACGCCCACAGGGTAGCGCCATCTAATAGAAAAATAGGTTCCTCAAGAAAGCAGACATTTCACTGCCAAGCAAATTCAAATCCAACAACAGAAGCTGTGGATAAATACTTTGCCCAACACAAGAGAGGCACAGGGGACATTCATTCTATGCAAAGCTACAGAAAGAGTGAAAAGGAATACAAGTTAGTAAACAAGAGCAACTCAACCTTAATTAAACTCTAAAGCTAAATCCAACTTTACATTTGGAATATAAAGAATCTGGTTGCTAAAATAAATTATAATCTACCTAGTTATGCAGAACGATGGATGCCATGTCACAAAGCGTTGATTAAAGAATTAATCACACACAGAAACAATAAAATATCTGTAATGGAGTAAAAACAGCCTGGTAATATTAGCAGTATGGTTGTATACTGTATAGCTGTCAGGGATGTGGGCAGTTTCACCTCAAAAAATGACATTTTACAGTCCTTTTCCGGAGCCTGTTTCTGGCTGTATGCTAACTTGACTGGAAAAGCACAATCCACTGCAATTTGAACCCCACAGGATTGCAAAGAACAACCTCAATCCCTTGGGAAACCAAGCTCATTCAGCAACATTCATTTTAATATAGCCAAATCCAACTTTACCTATATAGGAACAAAAGGCACAATGTGCACATAATATGGGCAGATTTGTGTCCTGGAAAACACCAAACCTCAGAAGTTCTTTAGGATTATGGTGGATAACAAAGAGTACGAGCTTCTACTACAGTGTTGCAGCCAAGAGACTTGGCAGGAAACACAACAGAATGTAGGAGCAATACAAAAGTAACATTACCCTGCCTACTCTAGTGGTAAAATGACTACCACACTGGGTGCCTGCACTTCACACAGGGTGCTGAAAAATAAGTCTTCAGAAAAGTTTCAGGGCAGGAAATAATAACAATCAGAAGCTCAAGAAACCTGATGCCTAGGACCAGACTCTCTTGGACTAGCTACTGAAATTAGGCACAGCTGGACCTGTAAAACTACTCAGAAGTCTCTAAAAGACAGTTCTTTCAAGTTTCATATAAATTCACAGAGGTTTTAAGTCACAGTAACAATTAGTATAATCAGTAAATGTTGACTAGAAAAGCCAGAGAGATACTTCAGAATTTAAGTATTCATGCTACATATGAACTGTACTTTTTCTCAAACTTCAGATCTGATGGGCAAAGTACCAGGGTAAGAATCTTCAGTTATTCCTGCAAATATTAAACACCCCCTTCAAACTTTAAGGATTTAAGGTGCTTTTTCCTAGCCCTTGCTACATGAAAGCTAGAAGGTTCCTGATAAGAACATACAAATAAAATACTGGGCCTACTTCATCAAAGCAAATGGTTTCTCTCTTCCTATTCTTGTCTACTTCACTACATAACCAACCATGTGGCTGAACCAGATGACCTTTTGAGATCCCTTCCAACCCGGGCTCTTCCACAATTCTATGACTCTACAACTTGAAAAATGAATTTTTAATACTGAATCACATTGTTGCCCTAGCCTCACTCTGCTCACATACTCAGCTCTCCTGCTAAAGGGCTTGTAAGCATTAAGATTTTATAGTATCACAGCGTTCTGTTATCATGGAAGCAGAGGAAGGGGGGAAAAGTCAAAAGCTGCTGGCTTATTTGGACTTTAAGTACAGGTTATTCAAGGACACACCAACTAGTCATGGAACCAGATCTCTAAATCCACAGAAGTTTTGCAGGTAACTGTGAGCAAAAGCTGTCTGACAAGAAGCAGCCTTGCCTACTGAAAGATACGCTTGGACAGACTGCAGCTTTAAAGAGTCCAGATACTTGCTGGCAGGAGAGCATAAAAGCAGGAAAAGTTTAGATGAACAGTGAGCTCTGCCACAACAGAAGCAGGATGGGACTTGGAATCAGTGTGAGACAATCACAGCACTGGCTGCTCCTTGCTTCAATAAGGAAAGCAGCAGGTAGGTGAGTCTCACACTGCCATTCAGAGTGCCTTAAGGCTGAGGATTAAGGACCACAAATTATGGCATAACCATAGCATAACCACCAAAAAATCAGATGGCTTTGAGGTAACCTACCAGTAACAGTGAAAGCACTGTTTTCAGTAAAAGCATCAGCAGTTCTGAAATCACATTCCTCAGTCTGTTTTGCAGACCTCCCATTCAAGATTCAGAAGACAGCACCCGATTCATATTCAGATTTTTCTTTGGTTTTAACTATACCCAGAAGTAGCAGATGAGTTTGCACAGGGACCTCTGACATTACAGTGAAGCCAACACTCATGCAAATAAAATGGCAACGATTATCCTTTGTGACTTGAAACACAAATTTGAATCCTGCCAAAAACTTATAAGATAATTATTGTTGCCTTAATCAGAGTGGAGGCAAATACGCTAGAACATCTAGAAGAGTCGCATGCCAGAAAATGTTTTTCAAATGCTAAGCCCAACCAGAGCAGTTTTAGCAAGAAACCATAAAAAGATTATTTTTCATTCCTGTCAGGACTCCAAGACTACAGTAACTCCTAAGCACCCCCACAACAGGACTTTTGTTCTGTGCAATGCATTACAGGAGATGCCTCAAGGAATTATGAGCAGACCACTTATTTGGCTATCTTGACATTCATGGTTGAATTTAATTCCTTTCAGTTTTAGTTTGTCCCATGTCTGGGAGGGAAAGTAGTGGCATTTAGAACAGGGAAAAGCAGGGAATTTGATTGAAATAGTGGGACTGTTGTTAGAAGCATGAACTACCTGTACTTCAAAGGAAACATGGATGGGACACCAGTGATCTTTCCATTATGTTAAAGAGCTAAGACCTTACTATGAGGAGCCTGAGGAAGCTCCAGGTATGCAACATGCTGATATCCCACCTTGTGCAAAGACTTCAAACCTTATTAAATACTCACAGCCACTTGCTTGGGATTATAAAGCAAAGCGCTTTATCCCAGCAATGGAAGGCATATGGAATACATTACCATCAGAAGTTATAAAACACCAGCTCATTATGAGACATAAAAGTACTTTAAAAAAAACCTCTCTGCAGCTATATGGCTGATTAAGTTGCAAGTACTTACTATTTCCCCCACCCGCCCCATTTGGAAAGTACAGCAAATAAAGTCTGCCTCTAAAGAACGATTTAAGACATTACCAAAATAAGAGCAGGGAGAAGTGTTGACATAAGAAACACGTCCACTTCTGTGCAGCGGGTCTTATTTTTATTACAAATATTGGTCTGACAGAATAAAAACTAAAAATTCTCCAAGACCTGCATAGTGCGGCCAGCTGGAGAGACTGCCCACCCCAAGCCATCTCGGGTGGTAAAAGCAGCTTAATTATTCAGGAGGAATAATGTCTAAGTTTGAGGCTTTTCAGAAATGACGGAATGACTCTGAGTGCCTAATTTAGGGATGTCCTTTTCCTGCCACAGCTGGGCCAGCTACAGAGGTCGTCGTCATCATCATCATCATCTGCAAGCCGCTGGGCCCCTGGCCCCAGGCCAGTGTTGCATCACCCTACTGCATCAGCTGCTCCTAGTAAGCTGTCCCTAAGCCCTGGCAGACTAAACAGTCTGCTTCCATTTCTTGAAACTCTTTTTGACCGAGGCCTTGGGGACAGCTCATGGTGAGCAGTCCAGCATGGAGAGCAGAGAAATGGCACATGGGGGCCAAAGCTGTAACACGGTGCCTACTGCTGGAGAGGATGGGGTGAAATTAGGGGGGATGGGTGGCAGCCTCTTGGTTCATACCTGGAGCACCATCCCCACCATCCCTCTGGCCTGAAATCAGGAACACTTCATGCCCACCTTGCCTGCAAATTGAGGCTCAACACTGGTCTTTCCTAGATCTAAGTGCAAAGAGGTCTCAGCCCAAAACACTGAAAGCCCTTGAACGTCTTTGCCTACCCTTTGGGAAACTGTGTTCAGCTGTTGCTGAACCCTTGCTGCCAGATCACTCTGCAGATTTCTACTTTTGCTCAAACCTTTTCATTAAATACAGAAGAAGCTACTGCCTGAAATGTTTTTTAAGCTTCTCAGTCATTTAAGGCTGCTTCCCCCTACATTCTTGTCAGACTAAGAACAGTGGTGATGACTTCAGGCAAGGCCCAGTGCAATGCGATGTACAAAAATAAAAGCAGCAAGTTGGATTGAAAAAAAAGAGAGGGCAGCAAAGGAAGCAGAAAAGAACAAGTAAAAACTCTGAAACTATTGTACTGTTCTCATTTTCATTTTAAACTTATGAAAAAAGCCTACTTACAGTTACATGCATATTAGAAGTATTTTTTCTTCTGAAGGCCCACACTGTCATAATTTAAGAACAAAGGCACAGTTAAATATAAAACCTGCAAATTCTAAGACCAAAGTTTCACCTCATACTTCCTATCAGCACCCAACAGAGGATGCTTTTGCAAAGGCAACAGACCAAGCACATATATAGCAGAATTTCACCTGGCAAACCATTCCAAAACCAACAGCTGAATTTTTGCATTCAAACCTAAACTGGCTGTTCAAAATTCCTATAAAATTTAATTCAAGGCTTTCAACTGATGCTATATTGCTCTGTGGAAGATGGATTCAGTCATTATGCTCTTCTTATGGGCATATATCTATTAGCATAGAACTTAGTCATCATACCCCTCATTTAGCTGCACTCTGTATTAATATAAGAACTGGGGGAAGCTCTGAAGTGGTTATGTTTCTTTTAGGAAATAGCAGTTCAAGCTCTGCTACTTGAAGGCTATTACCTTTACACCTGAGAAACAAAAGCAGACCAAAAATGATGAATTTTACTGAACTAAGTTCACTCAGCTCTTTTAGTTAAAGAAATACTCACTATGTGACAAAAGTGGCAGGGTAGAAGACAGACAAGCCTTTATTCTTTGTGAAACATATTCCTACTTTATAGGAAGACCACCCTTGAAGACAAGCATTATCACTATATGATGTGATACAGTAAAACATAGTTATTAGTTTTATAGCAACAATTTTACTTTCCATTTACATTAAATCCTCACTGGAGGAAAGTTTTTATGAATTTCATAATGCAGAAAACATCCTTCTCTTTTCCCCACTACGAGTTCAATGTTTGTTCACTCCATCATTCCCTGTATTTTGCTTGCGCAAGACTCACCACCTCCATGCATGAGCCCTAAAACTAGTTATATTAACACTTAAGACAGTGTAGGCAAAGTTTAACAACAATTACTTTTTTTCAAAAAGCATTTCTATCAAGAGTTGCATATTTATCAGTGGAAAAAGGCTGCAATAGCTTTACAGTCAAAAGGTAAACAACAACCTGCATAAGTCAAAAGCTTCTGAACGAAAATAGAAATGATTCAGCAGAACTAATTTAAGACTCGTTGTTAACCTGTATGAACACCAGATCACCAATAAAGGCAACCACCCTAAAGTAGGATAAGTAGCAGTGAACAGGATGATATCCACAATTAAAAGCAAGCAAGCACAGGGGAAATTCACGTGGATTACTATCTTGAAATAGCAAATCCAAAGCCTTGGAGCCCAACTGTTCTGACTGTAACAAATGAACTCCAGATCTAGCTCTGCCAATGTGTTTCAACGCGTTTTACGGTTGAGTAAAACATGTGTAAGCAAAACCGAAAAAACATTCCCCTGCCCCTCAAGCAAACTGAAAACCCAATTACTCTCAAATTCTTCATCCCATCTATCCCTACAGACTAGTCCTGCAGATGAAACAAAGGTCCTTCACATTTAAACTCTCAGCCCTACACATTCCCATCCACCTCACTTGTCTGCTGGAAATTCAAGCAAGTTACCTGTAGGCAGGTTTCTTTATTTCAGCAAAACAATGAGGCACTCAAAGCCCTCTTGATATTCCAACTTCTGCTTTCATTAGAAATACAATGGGTTGAATTATGTTGTTATGTCCAAATACTTCATTTTGAAGAAAGCTCATAAAGGGGAGAGAGCTGTCTGCTCTTCAGCAGCAAAAATCAATACCAATTCCTCTGGGAAAGCACCATATGCCACCTCTGCAAGGAAAGATAACTGAAATATCCTGAGAAGAAACCATTGAGAAAAAATGTTATCTTCCTCCTGTGCTTTAACAAAGTCGTGAAAAGCAGCAATATTGGTCTAGAAACTTCCAGGAAGCACTACCCAAAACAACTTTCTCAACTTGAACTTAGTATTCACTTAATGGAGATACTGAAGAAGTTTTTACGTGAGATAATTGACCAAGTATTTTTGCTCAAAGTAAATTTAAAGCAGAGGAGATTTGTGCTGGCATCTGTTCACATCCCTTATATGCATTTTAAAATAATACACTGGCAACACTTTTCAAATTATTCCTTATTAAGATGGCCTCAGGAAACTCAACTTCCTGAACAGTTTTACAGTTGTATGCACTGATAATAAAGAGGTTAAGATTCATCAGATGGGATTATTAATCTAGGCCCTACGAACTTGCCAGTACCACCATGACCTGCATAACAGCATGTACAGCTTCTGTAGAATGCGACCCAACAGCTGCTTAACTGATCTTCCCCCTTTCTCCCCTACTCAGCCACCATAAAGCACAGCTGAACACAATGTTGGAAATACATTTATTTTGTGAAGTCATGCAAAATTGAATCCTACTTGTTATACTCCCAATGCACAATAAAGCCACAAGCACAATAAAATCCCTGGCATCCCGAAGGATACTTATCCTGTCTAAAGCAATTGCCATATTGGCAAAAGCTCTGAGCTAACTAACTGTTTAAGGAAAAGCTGAAGTCTTAAAGGAATTCAAGAGCAAAACTGCACCAATGACTCCACTGAGAATAACAGCAGCTTTCAGGTTTTATCAGCATTAGATGCTCAATATGGAGCACAGTAATGTAAGCTCAAAATAACTACTGGAATGCACACTCCTCTGAGAAGGAACAGTGACAGCCCCTGGCAGAAGTTCATCTGTATGTCTTAGTACTATGACAGAAAGGTAGAAACCTGTGCTCCTTACCGGCAAAAGCTGAGCGACCCCTCCCACATCCCTGCACCTACCCACCTTGCCCCAAGGATGGAAGATGTGGGTAGCCAAATACTTATAAAAAATACAGAGGGAACAAGGACACAGTAGGGCAAGGATTCTTTCATATGAACTTCACATGTAACACAAATGCCATATTTCAATGTATTCTAGACCAAAATTCCACTAACTGCACAATGATTGAACTGTTCAAATGACTTGGAACTATTCAAGTTCCAAGTACAATGATTTTTAACTTGCTCTTTCATCAGAAGAAACAAGTCATGTATTCTATAACATACCTACAACCATGTGGTAAACTAAATCCTTGTAAAGGTAAAACATTTTAAATATGACACTTCCTACAACAGACTACTGTACCAGCAGTATTGTATACATCAAGATCTAAGCTCGTTTTATCATAAGACCCAGCTGATAAGCAGCTTATATAAAAAAAATTCTATACAGTATTAAAAGGCTATCACTTGCATTTCTCATTTAGGTATAGCTTAAAAAAAATAAATCCCAAATAACTGTGATATGAAATTATACTTAAAGATGTATATGCTGTCTGGTCAAATCCTTACAAAGTTTAGCACTGTAAAAAGAATGGCAGGGTAATAGATTTGGAATTGTCAACACCTACAATCAAAAGCCACATTACCTAATAAATTTTAAAAGTAAATAGTAGGTAAAAATTGAGTGACTGATTTAAGCTGGGCAAAGACAAAAAACACAAAACCCAAAAAGAAAAAACATGAGCACATTAGTCAGAAAGAATTATCTTTCTATCTTGAAACACTGAACATTTCAATTCAGCTTCACTAACATTAGATTTTCATGCTATGACTAGAAGGAATTCTGGCTGGGCAAAGTCCCTATAAGCCTATCTTACTCCACCATATCAGCCAGTCTGCTCATAACTTGGTAGGTAAATTTAGTTCATACATTTTGTGTCCATATTTTGAGAGCTTTCCCCACGTAACAGAAGCCAATATTCATGTGTACATGTGATTTTACATAAAAGATTTACACCTGCCCTTTTTTCAAACAGCTAGTCAAAGCAAGAGGCTTTTTGATTTACAGCTTTGAGTTCACTAAGTGGCACAGAGTACATCTTCAGCTGAAAGACAGAGCTGCAGTAAGCCAGAAGGATGCTCTGGTTGCCTCTTTCCCCCTCTGTCCTACAACCCCGTAACTGGAGACTGTTCCTAACAACATCCTTAACAGCCCTTATTTTTCACTTCTCTCTTATCAGCAAGAGAAGCTTCAAAGAACCACACAGAAGCCTGGATGATGGAAAAGGAGAGACAGGATCAGGAGCCACCCCTTGGAAAACTTCACTGCCTCAATTGCTGCCTGCTTAGAGCCAACACCCTTGTTTTGTAGCTGAAGAACATGCAGCCTTTGATTTACTCTAAACTAACTCCTGTCATTCAAGTGTTTGCTCTTTTTAAATTTACATGAAAAAGGCTGGATTATGCTGTCATACATTAAACTTTTATGTCAACGCATGGAAATCCACAGCAGTAAAAGGCAACTTGTATCAGGACTCTGTACTTGATACCACAGTGCTGAGGAAAAAAAAAACCAAAGACAAGAGAAGGAAAGCTGATTTTATAAAGTGAGAAGAAGGAAACAGTGGGGAGTGAAAGATCTATATCATGAAGAAACATGAAAGGGAACATTTTCCCAATGCCTTTCTACCCTTAGAAGCAGAGAAGATTTATCACATGCCCACAGATATCGGGTTTGACACCATTTCTTCTCTTTTCTACCACAGAGACTAGAAGTAACTGGATAGCATATGGGAATTGTCTAGGAGTGCACGTCATATGGTTTTATTACAAAGGAGAGGGGAAAAAAAAAAAAGATTGGCTTTTTCCATTCCCTTTTTAAATTAAATCAACTATCACACATCTGAGTCATCCCCAACCCCATCAGTTTTCTGTCCAAAGCACTCCAAGGGTCTGTGAAAGTTCAGTCACAAGTGCTAGCTCATAAGGCTGACTGCACTATAAGGTTTCTCATATCATGCTACACATCCCTGTAAGAAAAATGTTTAAAATTTCCACATCCGTAGCAGGAGTAGAAAAAGCCTGTACAAAAGTTCAGTTTTAAAAGTACAGAGTCTGATTTAGAGTTCCTGAATTCTCTTTTAAGTCAGGAAGTTATCTAGGAGAAATCAAAACAAGTTTGTAAATTCAGCTTTGACAGGAAAGCAAGTGTGCTAAAAACAACCCCAGGAACTTAAAAATTCATCAGAGCACCACTTCAACTCTGATCCATGATAATTTTAGAAAGGGATTCATAAATACTCTCACAATGAGTACTCTGCACAGCACTGGCAGGATCAACTTGAAGCTGAGGCTACTCGTCAAAGCTTTCCCCTTTCCATGAAAATAACCCAAGAGTCAGAAGTGCCTACAGGTATCTGAGGACTCCATCCTGAAAGGGGAGGACCTTCTTTACTGGCATTTGAATCCAAGACCTCTCAATACCAACAGAGAATAGCAGTCCAGCTGGACAGTGTTCAGTATAATACATAGCACAGGAAAGTATAAGTGTATTGATTGTGGCCACATCATAATAGTATTTCACTTATCTGACATAGTAATGAATGCTTTCTGTACCAGCATAAAAAATATTGTGGCTCTAGAGACGTTGTATTTAAACTGTTTACTTTGAAAAAAAGCACGCAACTCCAGCTGTTCTACCTTCCATCCATGTCCAATCCTACCAAAACAAATCTCAACCAAAAAACACCACAACAAAATCAAAACCACTCCCCTCCTATGCATGTAATTTTGAAGTTTAGCACATCGTAATATTATTAAAACTGTACTGAACCTTTCATTCTGCAATCAGGAGAAAACCCTAAAATCTTATGTTGATCTTATTTAAGCACGCTCTCTATTTTGATCAATTCTCTTAAGTACCTAGGTCCTCACAAAGGAATGGATCACATCACATTTTGTTTTCTGAGAGCTGTTTCACAAGTCACCTTCATGCAGAGGAATACAAACAACCCATACCCTAATGGCAGAAATCCTCTCCTACACTATCTTCACTGACCACCTTACAAAACTGAATAGGGAGGAGGAACAAGGGAAGGTGGATCAGAATCCCCCCTTTTTTGCCTCCCCCCTTCCAGAGACCTACTGCATGACTGGACATAGCAAGATGTCCTCAAACTAAAGACATTTTTTAGAGATCACTGCTAGAACTGATTGCTCTAAAACATGTACGACGCTTCACTGTCAGAGAAAAAAAAAAAATCCAGGAAAAGTTCATGATGCTCTCATTCACAAACATTTGCAGGACTAAGTTTTAAAAGTATTTGGATAGTTAAAGGAATCTTTCCCAAAGCACTGTATTTTTTATTCTTCTGCCCCCTCACCCACCTTAGAGGGAGAACTGAGACGCCTGAGGATTTATTTTTTTGACACTACCTATTTATGTTCCAAGTATCTCCACCCCAACAAGAAAGGGAAGAAAGAGGTCAAGAATACATTATACTTGCAAATTTTTTTTTAGTCCTCTGTGAATTGTCAGCACTTTAGTTTCATTTTTAATACGGCAGAAATAAACACTCGTTCAGTGAAATTTATTAAAAGAAAAAAAATCACTAATTTTAATTACAACTGAACTACTTACTTTGCACAAGGGAAGCATGTTGGGTAAGAAATGCCAAACACTGTCAGCTTCCAAACTGGTATCATTCTATTATACTTCAGATCAATAGTATTCATATTGGAGTTTTCTTTTAATGGTAGCTTCGTACACGATATTGCCAAGCTAACCTATTTTAATAGATATTCTAATATCTAGGCATTTTAAGTAGCAGATTTCTAGATAGCTATACTGATTGCATTTGGCTATGTAAAGGACAATGAAACCTGAGCTGAAACACCATTCAATGGAATGTTTTTTACCAAAACTAATAAAATACTAAGACTGAAATCAGATTTTCTCCTATACTGGAGAAAATGTTCTGGATATGAACAAACCTGAAAATGAAGGATCAGTGATTGAAAAGAGATTCCCTTGAATCTTTAACAAGAAGCAAACAGGAAGAGGAAAAAAGCCACTTAAGAACACTCACTGGCTAACATACTAACTTGGAAGGTATACACAAGAAGATGGTATTCTAAGAAAGAACACTGCAAGAACATGAATCGGACATCATTATTTTATCACGAGCCATTTAAATTAATCCTGCTGCTCAACAGCTGATGAAACTCATGGCACTCTGCAGGATACAAGAGACTCACAAAGTCTCCCGAAGTGGTCCATTACTCTGCCCACATCAGAAACAAATTAGTGTTGGTAAACACAACTCAGAACATTAGGCAACAGGCCAAGTCTGCCGATTTGCGCCCCCGCCCCTCCTCCAAAGAAAATGGGGAACAGCTGCTCAGCCTTTTGCTGCCCAAATAGCTGAATCTGGACTCTCTTATAACTGAGCTGGAAACTGCCACTGTCCCCATCACACAGGCTGCATGCCTGCATGTGCACGTGTGCACACATGTGCATGTCTGCTTGTGCTCATGCATGCACACAGGGAGAAGAATGAGGTCCTGGAAGTGAGCTTTCTCTGTCTAGGGGCACTGGGCAGGGAACCCATGCTGCTATCATCAGCAGAAGCACCTCTCCAACACCTTGGGGAACCAACTGCTCGATGGCAGACAGAAAAGGCAACCAAGATCATCAACAACCAC